AGAGAGAGAGAGACGGGGAGAGAGAGAGAGAGAGACGGGGAGAGAGAGAGAGAGAGAGAGAGAGAGAGAGAGAGAGAGAGAGAGAGAGAGAGAGAGAGAGATCCGGTTCATACTGCGCACAAGCGCTGAATGCATCTCATGAAGCAATGTCCGTCAACTCGGACCAGCTGCCGTCACCACCCCAAAGAACAGGAGGCACTTTATCTCTGACGTCAACAATAAATGTTCTAACAGACAATCGAAGCACCGTTACACAAGGACTATATCCAGTTGATGGCACGGAATTGCTGAAACTAAACAGATGAAAGACAATAAGAGGGGGACCTAGCTTCCAAAGGGAAAAAAGCAGCCCAATTCACCGCTATCACTAAATATAGACGGTACATTTTGTTTACAGGACAAATCGGGAGTTCGAGAATAGGCCCTTTCACATGGCATAAATCACGTATGCAGCTTTGACGAGAAACTACTGGTATAAATCATGCGAGATCTCAATGACTAACTAGCCTCATCAATCACGCAGGCGAAAGAACATCCCATCTTTGTTATTAATACTTATTAACTTATCTTTACTCCTCACAAACAACTCAGCGATGGGACCCTGTCACGACGCCGCCCTTCCATCACCCGCCATAGATACGTACCCAGATATCCAATTGACATCGATTTGATGACGAACCGACAACCCGAGTCCACATCGTCGATTCTTCATCGACCAGTGCGAAGGAAAACTCAATCACAATGCTCCCGAGCCGCATCCCTACAAGAAGCATGCCAGCGGCTCCAAATCGCAATCGCGACCGCACATGGCAGCAGAATAAGCCAAATCAACATTACCACGCTCAACACACTCCACAACAGCTGGCGACAGAGGCAATCACGCACGTGTTAAGCGTCGTGTACTTTTCGTATTCACTTTGCAGCTACCATGAGTCAGATATGGATGCAAGCATAGATAGGCAAGGACCCGGCATACTCAACTGGTACAACGCGGCGATAGATAGATGATTGATCGAGGAGGGAACAGGCCATAAGCGGGGGGAGGCATGCGGCCATCCCAAGGGCGCGGAACTGTACAGTTTAGGGCAACCATGCGAGGAAGAAATGGGCGACCGAGGGAGCGCGGGTACATGCAGACTGGTCGGGACTTTGTGGACTGAATGTGGCCACCATTCAAGCCTTATGCATCCATGGGAGTCACCGTAGTGCGAGTACGCCCTGAGACATGCGTCCATCTCGTTATCTTTTTTTGCACCCGACGAAGAAGAAGATTGTGCCCGCGGCAGTCAACTTGCACACAACTACCTTTCACACATATCGGCCGCGAGTGAGGAGGCCCCCACGGGCCCTGACGACTTTCGGACGCCGGTAGCGCAAAAAACGGCAACCGATGAAATTTATCAACGGCGGCCGCCGTTGAGCCCCCGGCCTCCCGAAGCCCCCCTAAGAACGCGGTATAGGTTATATTCCCAAATGGGACACCACTGTGAAAGGCAGTGGCAGCTTAAGGGTAATCATGGAAGGAAGAAATGGGCAACTTAGGGTATGGGTACACTCAGACTGGCAGGGACATTTTGGGATGAATTTTTTGGCCGCGATTTGAGACAGATGCATCGATCGACGGACGTCCCGCTAGTGGGCGTAAGTGCATATTGACGCATGCTTCCAGCTCTCGTTACATTGGACCCGAAGACGGCGATTGATTGTGCCCGCGGCAGTCAGCTTACACGCACCATAATCCGGAGTCGTCAATACATATGCCTTAGCTTTTGAACCTCTCTCTGTAGCGCTCGAATCTCATCAAACAACACCGATTGGTTGGTCATCAACTCCTCGTACATCGACCGTGTTTCCATCTGCAGGGGCCAAACAAAGAGAAGAGCGCGGAACCCACATTCTTGTCAGACATCATAACAACCGTAGTTAAATACCGACACACATTCTTTCACTGCTTTGTGCACCAAACACATTCCGACACACACCACATTTAAATACCGATTAAGCCAATGCGTCCCAACACACATTGTCTCAATGCTTCCCGACACACGCCACATTTCTTGTCAGACATCATAACAACCGTAGTTAAATAAAGATTAAGCCAATGCGTCGCGACACACATTCTTTCAATGCTACCCAACGCACATTCTTTCAAGATGCGAAGGACTCCCAAAAAGAATCAATTTGCTTTCTTCGCAGGTTTTGGAATAGGTCACCGGCCAGTGAGACGAAGGGAAAGAGGCTCCGTCTGGACCCTCGTGAGAACGAACGAACATCCTTGGCTATAGGCTTCTGGGCCTCCAACCCTCCGAACATGTCTTTTGCCCACCGTCCTCACCTGCATAGAATGCCCCGTCACTGTTGCTGTACCTAGACCGCAAATTGCAACAAATACAGTTCTAATGACCGGCCGTTCTATCCGGGGGGAAGACGGTAGCAAACAGTTTCCCAATTTGCTTTTCCTCTAATTCCGCAACTACCTTTTTTTTTTTTTTTTACTGCCCTGAGATTCCTGGACGATGTAACAGTCTTTTGGAGGGGATAGGAGAGGGAAGATGAAAAAGAAAGAGAGGACACGTTTTCCACTGCACCACACCGAGAAGGAGAGCAAGTCTTTTCAAGAATGCAAGTCTCGCTCCACCACTCAACATTTGACACGTATCTGGACTGCTTTGTGCACCAAACACATTCCGAGTCTTTTTTCTGACCCATCGAACATATTGAATGTATTGGAACCTTTTCCACGTGAGAGGGAACAGTTCATCCAAGTCGAAGAGAGAGGGAAGAACATATATATATATATATATATCGTCACAAACAGAACTGCCCGGTAAACCATAGGCAGAGAGAGAGAAGAGGACAACAAACGAGGGGCTGTGACAAACTGTTTCATCGGAGTTTCACCGACTCATCATACATACATATATCATCATGTATATATATATATATAGTCAAACAGAGCTGCCCGGTTTACCGTAGGCAGAGAGGGAGGGAGAAGAGGACAACAAAAACGAGGGGCTGTGGCAAACTGTTTCGTCGCGTCCGAGTTTCACCGACTGACTCATCAGGAGGCTGAACCCTCAACAGTCTGCAGAATCCCCTAACTGATTACACTGTAAGTGATAATCCACCTGATATATATATATCGTCAAATAGAACTGCCCGGTAAACCGTAGGCAGAGAGGGAGAAGAGGACAACAAACGAGGGGCTGTGACACCTGATATATATATATATATATATATATATATATCGTCACAGAACTATTGACTAAGAGCGTAAGAACGTGAAGTAGAAGAAGAAATAAGATGAGCGAAGAAAATAAAAATGAAAAGGACAGACAGGCAAAGAGACAGACAAACCAGAATGACACAAAACAGTGTCCTCTTATTCTTTGTTTCACTGTATTCTTATTTCTTTCAGTGTTTTACAGGGAAAAAAAATACACTGAACAAAGGATAAAAATAAAAAACAAAGATACATTGAAATCATTCAGTTTCTCAGTCTTCTTAACGCCTCCTCCACCGTGCCTCTAACGTCTAACGTACAAGGCTCGCCACGTTGATGAAGTTGAGCGCGAGCTGCCCCCATCCCCGTATGCCATAACAGCCCACTTGCACGCTATGGGAAAGAGGCAGAGTGAAGGAAGAGGTGTTAAACACAAGGAAGAGAGGAGCAGAAAAGGAAAACCGATAGGCAGACGGAGAAAAAATGAAAAAAAAGGAGACCCAAACATCTTCTTTCTTTCACTGCATTCTTCTTTCTTTCACAGTTTTGCAGTTTTGGTGAAGAGTCTACCACGTTCGCTTTTCAGCGCACCTGCACTTCCTTCTTCATTTTTCATTTTCATTTTCACCCTTCGGACTTTTCTCTTGAGGGTGTTAGGGTGCAGGGTACAAACAAAGTAAGATGACACAAACTTATGTACGGAGGCCCCCCCGGACGGACCTCCGAACTTAAGGACGGACCTCCGTACTTTCGGGCGTTCAAGGTCCCGGGGCCTGAACCTGAAGGGGTTCGGCCCCCGCCAAAAATTATTTCGGCACCTAAAAACAACTTTTTTTTTCTGAATTTTTTTTGTGCGTTCTCTATGATGTTAGGTACATGCCTATACATTTTGAAGTCATTTTGCTCAGCCAAAAAAAAAAAAAAAAAAAAAAAATCCCCAAAGATGGAGGTGTCAAAACGTGCTCGCCCCATTC